AATACGGTACAGCTGTACAAAATTTGCGTTGCACTTTGGCGTAATTGTAAACATTTGGAGTATTGAATTATTCGGGTCTACGAGGATTATGGAGCTTCTAAAAAGAGAGTCCGTGGCATGCATAGACTGTTAGCCGCATGTAACGGGGTTACACATACCCTGATATGAAAGAGTGGGTCACACAATATAGTGTGACCGTACAAAGGTGTGTATTACACAAGTCGGTGTAATCACACAATGGTGTGACTACACCGTATCAAGAAGCCACTACGTGGCGGGACTACCAGTAGTTACGCATATTAAATTAGATTATACTATGTAATTAGGAGAACCTAAGGTTTTAGATATAGGAGGTTCTGCTGCAAATAAAACAAAAATACAGTTTATTTTTGAACGAAAGAGTACATTTGCCTTGAGTTAAGGTTTTGGATACTCTTGGTGGAAGCGGATCGCGATCCGCTACCCTCGTACTGGTTCTGTTATAGAACGAAGGTCGGTGACCTTAAATTAACTTCCTTTTTGCAAAGAGCTACCGCAGCCTCGCTACACCGCACGTCAAAAAAGAACGGCAGTTTTACTATCAGACATACTAAAACCGTATACGTATAGTATGTAGTCACGTAGCATTAACTCTAAACATATGTACTCTTTAAAAAGCAGAGCAAATTCACAGTGCATGTTACCTCGAAGGCTCTCGGTTCTACTTCTGGTTGGAGCACACAACCCTGACCTCTGATTTCAGAGAGCCAAAGCTTCCTCTGCGCAAAAAGCACGGTAATCTGATTCAGTCGGTAGCACTTGCAGTCAATCCTACAGCCGAGTCGTGAGAGGACTGTCTCCTCTGCGAAGATGGGACATGCAATGTTTAAATACCTGACTTCGGGATGCACCGACCAGGTTAAAAGCCTGCGTCTATCGTGGACCCCGATGGGATCCGAGAACTGGCGATCAAAGTGCTAAAAGTGCTTATTTGCACTCAGAAAGCGCTCATGAGTTACGTCAGGATGTCCAATCGGGGCCATATAGGAATAGATGATTTCCACAGTAACTCCACTCATTATTAGTGTTCAAACCTCTGGGGGCGGGACGGAGAAAATTCCTTGCTCTGAATGACAGGATTAGATCGAACTGATTAATCATGCGTGTCGCTTGTATCTCCACGGGTAACGATTTGAAGCGACAGATGCTACAGACATGTCTACACCGCCTAACTAGACGTATCTGGCGCATACAGAATTCTTGTCTATCCGTCCAGGGAGGCGAGAGCTAGAAAACTATGAGCAGGAGGTGAATATCTTATCGTCGCAATGACGTAAGAAAGGCATTAACGCTTACCATCTTCATGAAGGGTCTCCTAATGGGTGCAGCTGACACCGAGATGTTTCGCCTCTAATCTACATTTTCCATGGAATCCATGGAAGCGTTTGTTTTGAATTCAATGAGGAGTACATCTTCCATCCCGCGAGAACCGAGAAGGATTCTGGTACTGGCGTCTCTGTAAGCGAGTCGGAGGCAATGAATATCAGTCATGTTGGGAAGAACAAAAAGATCCTTGACTGCGGAGCAGCTCCGCCATACTTGCAAATGTTATATCTGTGTGAGTACAAAACCTTTCAGCCTTGAAAATAGCTTCGCTCTAGACTGATAGGTGCGAAGAGTAAGGCCTCCATGCAACATCGCTTGATGATTTTTTGCGGGAAAATAATGAGGCATGAAAGGCGCAGGGTAATCTAGTTAGAAAAAACTGGGTGCTATTGCACCTCATGAAGATCTTGATCAGCTAAAACCCAGCCCTAAAAGAAGCGGGTCTTTCCGAGAGAGATGGGGATCACGGCCCAGGACTGTTGGTCGTCAGTATCAACGTCCCACGATTTGTGAAGCCTAGCGAATCATAAATTGATTTGGGCATGTCGTTCAATTGATAATAATGCGTGACTGTCAAAACAATTAACAACACACGAGTGCCTCGAGATGCCGAATGCATGAACGATTCATGTCTTCTAATGATGGGACACGTAAAGCTTTTGTCAAATCTCTGATTTGATTGAGAGATTTGAAAGCGTGGAACGTTGTCTACTCCTGAATCTGGTTTCGAAATTTGGATCCAGCCTAGTATGGTGCGGCTGGGATGATGTGAGCTATGGACCGTTTGTAAGTCGAGAACTTAAGCGACACGCACTTCTCTTCTGGTGGAGCTTTGGCGAGCCGTGAGGTCGCCTCTGATAAGAGAATCTTTTTTGATTCGGACTGAAAGCTGCGATAGTCTCCATACACGACAAGAAGTGCTCGCGCTGACTAGCAGTGATATTGCTAGTGCCAAGAGTAGAAGTCGTGAAACAGGAGCGGCAGTGACCCTCAGTGTCAAAATGAGGTGGAATAGAGAGGCTGTATCGCAGCCTTCAGTGTATCTCAGTTTAGACGAAGAAAACGACTGTAATGCGTGGCCCACAGAATGTTTTTCTGGTAAAAAACGTTAGCTGATGTCTGCCCCACAAGGGCCGGTGGGGAGAGGAAGCGACTGGGTGTCGCAGTCTTCAATACAAGAGCCGGTGAAGTTGAAGGGCGACCGTAAGTCGCGAGCTGAAGAGCTTGGCCTAGAAGATAAAAAATGATTTTCATGCTTTATTAGCACAAAAGTGTGACCAGGGTTGTCCTACGGGTTGAATGCATACTTAGTTTTTCCCGCAAAAGGCCTCTCCGAGTTTGAGAGTTTTTTCTTCCGGGGATTTGTGCGAGAAATTGCAAAGGAATGGGGTCATGAAAATGGAATGGATGTTATCAGAGAGGGAGTCGAGCTCAAGATCTGCCACTGAAGAATACATCATCGAGGACACGTGCAGATCACTAAGTGTGAGGTGTTGGATAGCTTTCCTCGGACTCTATGGCTCTTATTCACCCTTGTGAATGAGACATCGAGACGTGGTGACACCAAACCCTTCACGCGTATCACACCTGGATGAGGGGTCGCCTCATCAAATTTACTTGGTTCTTGGAAATTTAAATTGCGTCACACGGCTATGACTTCTTCCCAGCAACAAGCTGACGGAGCTGACGGTTTTTTCTAAGTGAAGCACGAACCGGGTGCGGTGATAGAAATCGGAATTTATCCACTCGACACCGAATTTGTGCCAGAAAAACTAACGGCAGCCTCCGAATTCTGCATGCTTGAAATAAGCTAGATACAGCTACAAAATTGGCGCAAACGTCGATTTCTAGACAGCCTAAGGTGAGGAACAGCATGTGGGCTGCTCTTTGTTTAGTGGATTTGGCCTGGCTTACGATTATTATCAATTACTGATTAGAGACAGCATAATCCTTCCCACTGCGGTGATTACTTCGAGCGTAACGCTATGGGAGTGACTAGTTATGATACAGATTATATCAAACGTAACTTCGAAGCTCAATTGTCGAATTGTGGCACATATATATTTATATAAATTATTTGTCCGTAGTACGGGGAGTTGGATGTGGAAAATTACTTTACACACTTGCGAGCAGGACTTGATTAAATGCACTTGCATCAACGATGAGCCAATATATCCAAGTGTGTATTTAGCAACGACGAGTTCCGCTTTCTAGGTTGCTTTGATGGAAAGCAGAGCCTGCGGGGGATCTCACACAGATAAAAAATTGGTCACTTGAATCCAAAGGGACTTGAGGAAGTGACTCAGCCTGTCTAACCACTTGCACAGCTTCAGTGCAGATTATCCCGACATAACATGGTAGGAATCCTTGCCAATCTTCTGGAAAAGAATCTTAGGGTGCGACAGAAGAGGATTCTACTTGGCTCGGTAAAAATGGTTTGATTTTGTTACTTCTAAATACAAATTGACCATTTTACGTCATCTGTGACGCTTCAGTCCTTGCAATAAGCTGCACTTTTCTCGAAGGAAATGTCGATGGACTTAAACGCGCGATCACAATTGGTTTCACGACTTAGAAGTAACTTTCCCTAAAATATCAATGAGCCACTTGCAGTTTATTTTCCCTTGTCAGGTCCAGAATGTTGCAATGAAGGATAACCATCTTGTCAATCCCTACGGTAGATGTGGTGATGACGTCGCTGTGCGCAAAAATGCATGATATGTATAGGTCAAACTATGTATTTGACGTAAGGTTTAAGTCGTGTCGGCTTGATGTGGTCGCTAATGCACATCGTGTTGCCCAACATGATTTGTCGCATATCACAATAATGATGTCGCCAATTGAAAAGGCGATTCGCCCTGCGTATGGGTCAGACTGTGTTGCTGAAAGCGATGAACTTGAATAATCAGATCCGGCTCATCACTGAAGACGATGGAACTTCGAAAAGAAGGATTCCGTGGCATGCGTGGTCTGCTAGCCGCAAGTCAGAAATGAAGGCTAAAATAGCTTCATTACAAAAGATATGAAAGCGCATATCGAAGTACCATCAGTCATATATATATGTACCCCAGAGATAGCAGAGACTTTTTTTTTCGGTGCTTACAGTTGGAGCGCACGAACCTTACCTTTGTGCGTATGTCAACGTGAACTTTTTGGGTCAAAGATCTTAATGCGCGAAGAGCATGGCGACCTTGTTGTATACAAGAACACTACATCCACTTAAAGAGACTAAGAGTCGTCAGCGAGTGCTTGTCTGATGCTTAATTCCTATCCTTGTTTGTCATCCTTTCGCGACGAAAGTTCTCATGCCTCAGTGTCGGTATGGTTGACACTGGCTTTTTGGTTGTTTCACCATCGGCACCTCTGGCTTCTTTTGACAGCTATGTCTCATAAATGAACCATTGGCTCCCAAGGCGCTGAACATAATCACATCGTCTCTGCTAGTCAGTCTCACGTGATTTTGTTGCTAACAAGTCATCGGCCATTAACATTGTCTTATCACATGATGGGATACTGCCTCTTTTTATAGATTTTGCTGTAGCTCGTACGTAAGTAAAATCTTTGTGTCATGTTGAATATAGGAAGAATTCCTCCTTAAATGACTACACCATTTGATCTTCCTACATTAAAAGTCGATGGCGTCCGTAGCGCCGCTGTTGCTATCTCTTATGACAAGCGGTGTCGTTCTTCTAGCCGCCTTTAAACTTAGCGACACAGTGTACAATACAACGTCTACAGTGTTTGCTTTCTTGGCGCTAGTTCCCGCACTCGTGTCGATTGGCGTCGTCTCTGAGGGCCTTGGCTGGGGGATTTTCACGCAACTTTGGATCGCTAGCCGACATACTCCGGAGCAAACGATGACACCTGCCAACGCATCGGAAGCTGCACGTATGGAGCTTCTTAAGGCACTCAGTGATCGCTGGTGGCAGCATGGCCGTACATCTCTCGGCAGGTCATTTGGACTTAACATCCAGAGACCAGAGTTTGTCACGAGAGGCAGTTCGTTGTATGAGCAAGTACAAGGCCATCTTCAAGATCATCTATTCAGTCGTAGCACAGCAGAAACGCCTGTGTATCTCATGGACTCGACTACGGGCTATTTCCTGCGAGCTACTCAGCGCCGCAAGCTTGTGCTTACAAGCAAGCCGAATGCTTCATGCTTATTCTATGTAGAGCGAGGTAAAACGCATCATTGGGGCTTTCGAGCTGTTGCAACACAGCGATATATGGGCCAAAATATTGTACAAAAACTTGTTGCGACTAGCAAGAAATTGCACGCATGGGAAGCATTTCGTGTGCTGCAGAGACCAGGGGATAAAGGAGTTGGAGCCTGTAGTCCGTTGGTATATATGATACTATGCTCGGCACGATTTGGGAAGGGCATGTGGTTAGCTAATAGGCCGGCATTTGCTCCCTCAGTTCCGACTAGCAGAAGTAGCAATGTGAATTTTGATGAAGACGAGAGCTTGTTTAGTGACCACGATCACACGAGTCAAAAATCATCTCGTAAGCATGGTATCTTCTTGTCGAAGCAGTTAAATCATGCCATTGGATTGATGTATAGTTCAGATTTGTCGGCATTGATGACTCATGCGGGGCAAGTGCGGACGCCATTGGGTTTGCGAGCTTTAGCACGTGCACAAACTTCACCACATTTAAATGGGAGATCACGTCAAACAAATAGCGGCATGTTACGGTCTACAATGTTCACAATGCTTGAAAATGGAGATGAAGATGATGCGGATACAGATTTATCAGGACGAGCCACCTCGTTTCTGTTAGTGAATGGTGATGACTCAATGGAACCATTGAAACCATTGAGAGCAACTGTGTCTGACTAAAAGTCCTAATTGAGTCTCAAGTGCCTAAAACACGAAACCGGTACACAATCGTCGACTCATGAAAGATGATCGACTTCTGACTTTTTACTTGTAAGTACTTGATTACGCGGAGCATGGTACATGTAGATCATCACATCGAAATTGCTCAGCGAGCATTAATACTTGCTAAGTTAAGTGGATAAGGTGGAGCCTACAACTGCTCTATACTCTGGGTCGATGCCATCTGATGATGCTGATAAGGTCGAGGATAAACTGAAAAAGGAAGCAAAATCACCAACGAGATACACAAGACCTTTTATCTTAGCTATGAACGCATGATAAAGCGTCGAATATACTCATTAGATGTCGACATGTTCATCTTCAATGTTTACGTGTATAGTATGTTGTCTATTGTGTTTGTAAACTTCATGGTAGGGATATTTGTTGTTCAAATAAATCGATAAGCTTTCATGCTTGTTTATGCCTACTTTTCTAACGAATATTAGTCAGAATTCAGTTGTAGTTGCATTGTAAGAAATGCTCACAGTGTGCCAAGTCGCTCGTCCGTATGAGCTTCACGCATTTAAATTTGTAATACATTTCGTCAAGACGAGCTTTGGATATGTTCATATTGTGTTCATTGACTTTTATTCTTGATAACTAAAAAAATAGACTCTTATTACTCTTTTTTGATGATGTCAAAAATTCTAACTCTAGCTTAGTTAGACTTATTCAATTTGAGCATAAGTCATTTCAAGAAGCAAGAGCTCTCGCTCTCATCAACTACTTGTAAAAACTGATCTACAACGTCTTCACTCTGTCTTTTCGACTTCCACGTGTAGTAGAAGTTCTGTTCAAGTCATGCTGAGCTTAAACTTGAATCGAAATACTCAGACAAACTTCGCGGTACCTGATTATACTCTCTCGACAGTGTGATCCGTTTCTATTACATCCCCGTTGTATATTACTCGTCGACCTCCGCCGCAGCCGTATCTGTGTCCATGCGGGGCCAATGAGACCAAATTCGCCTGTCTGGACACAATATTAAATTTTGTACTTGTATAACGACGATTGTCAATATCACGGCATCGTTCCTGGTCTTTTTCTAGCAATTTGTAGCGTTTAGAAACTTTGCTTTGTCCACTAGTACAGTACATCGCTACTTGGTGACGAGCACGGCTGTATTCGTAATGTTTAGTGCTAGATAAAAGTCTTCGGGATTGTAGACACGAGCTGGGTACGAGAATTCGTTTAGTTTCGAACGAAATTTTTTGATTACGTCTACATTTGAAATTTTCTTAGCCTTTGAATTTGAAGTATCGTAACATCGATAGCAACTTATAAGATGTAGATTACAGAGTAGACGCGAAGTCAATAATATTTGAAAGCCACGATTGTGACACGGTCGCTATATCGACAAGGTTCAAGTATGGTCGAATATGTGGTTAAAGTATGAAAAAAATTATTTGGCGAGCAATGTTGGGATGGGAAGAGACAGAATGTCCCGCAATGTGTAGAAAACCTGCTGATGACAATTATTGATAGGACAGAAATTCTCGGAACTTGTGCTTAGATTTTTAGCAGTTATGATACAATTGAATTCTTTTCTTGACAGTATCCAAGTGCGATGTGTTAGTTATAAAACTCCACATTAGACTGAAATCATAAACCGTTTGTCTTGAGAATGTCGTTACGCTAAGTGGACGGCCTGTTCTTATTGCTGTTACATTGTCCTGCACGAAGATGCGCATAAAAAAGCAGCTTGTGTATTTTAATACAAACAGCTGAAACATCTCTGTGATTGGCTAAAAGACATAAAAAGTGGTAAAAAGTCGCTTCGTCCCCATACCTTTTTTATTCGACAACCTGTTTGGACAGATATAATATGTACGTCCTGACAACTCAGGTGGACGGATATCCGATTGTATAACGAATCAATACCCTGTCAGATTCGGTGGTTGTTATCAAATTAATTTCGGAAGATGTTAGAATGACTTGATCTAGCGCATGGAGAGAGACCATTTCTCACCCACATTCAAGTTTTTGAGATGCCAACACTCACTTTGTCCGTCCACGCGACAGATAACGCGTCAATTCGAGTTCCTACCCCCGTATCAGTTCCCATGGAAAGTATGGGCAATCATCATGCCATTTACAGCGCTAGTCTTCCTACAGAAGCGCAAAAACCACCACCAAAGAAACGGGGACGCCGTCGTTTATTGCAAGACGAAGGACAACGCAAGGCCAGACGTAAGACTCAGTGCAAACTTAATCAACGACGCTATCGTGCCCGACAACGTGGACTTATCAGTATGTTGTCACTGGAAACTGAGGGTTTAAATGACTATTTTCGGGACTTGCAAGACTATCGAGACTTTTTAAGAGACTATTTTGCACCATCTTCAGCACCTTTATCAGCATGGAATGATCCAAGACCAATGCTTGTCGTCAATCACTTCTTACGAGCTTTTCAAACAGGTTTTGCACTGCACTCGATTGAATCAAGCTCCTTACAAGAAAGTTTTATCAGACTAGTGTGTGCTCCTAATCTCGTGACACAAGGAGCCATGACAGATGGCATTGAGGCATTGTTACTGCAGCTCAAACGCTATGCATCGTACCATGGTGCACTAGAGATACGAGCAGACAGTGTCTGCATGTTACATGCCCCAACGAAAAAAATGGATGTCATGGCGAACGAAGAGAAAATCTTGTGGATCTTTCAAAGTAAAGGAACCATTAGAATGCGAATTTCACGAGACACTTTGATGCTCGTGTATCCGCATGTGTTACAGTATCATGAAACTATAGCGCAACGTATTATGGGGCAAACGATTGAGCCTGATTTAACAACAACATTTTATTTCGACGCACAAGCAAAAGTAACGAAGCTTGAACAACACGTGGATTTTGCTGGTGCATTTCTCCGACTTCTAGAGAGTGCAGAAGATGTGGCCACATTGTTGAAAGGTGCGCTCATTTCTCCATTCTCCGAACTAGGATTGGATCCACAAGGTAAAACAGAATCGTCTCTCACGCGCGGCTGTAAACAGCTCAGTCTGAAATTTATTCTTCTGTAAATTTAAACAACACTGATCGCAGTACAAGGTACAAACGGTGATCTTCTGCCTCTTCTTGCAGGCTTTCATGAGTGAAATAGAAAATTGCCAAAATATAAAAGCAGGAAATCTCTGTCCTAGCACAATTTAATCGCAAGTCGCAAACGTGTTTCTAGCTTCATACTCGAGTAGATCTTTTAGGTTACGAAGTTACCTTCACCCATGTAGCAACATTACGCTAAAATAATTTCCAGCTGGAAGTGTTTAAGGTATATACACTCTTGGAAGGGCTCAAATCGTGAAAGATTAGAGATTACTATGGGATCACAGAAAGTTGCTCATTCCAAGCAACTTACGCATGGGTTCTCAAATCCTGATGTTTGCAACATAAAAATGGTCATCATGACCAATCATCAATGATAACAGCCTGATCGTTCATGATGAGACCCTTGACTTTGGACCAATTTTGATCTTTACACTGTCGAAACTTCGCACGCTGTCCTTGCATCATGCGCGATGACTTGATCATTCAACGATGACTTGCTGCAGATGCGACTCGAGTTCGCAACCTTAAGGTATCACAGTCCATTCCCCATTAATTGATATCCTTTCAAATATGGTAGTGTGATTTTATCATAGCACAGAGACACAATAATTGGTGTGTGTGTGGACTAAGCAAGGAACGAATTCTCAAGCAATCCATGACAAGCAAGCGCTCTAACTCACTTGAGGTAGGAGTATTAATTACATATCTAGTACCTTTTGCACTCGCTGCCTTTTCGTTCTTAGTATATTATTGTACTTTGGACGTTCTGACTTCGACAATGTCTCAAGGGTTGATTGGCAATATTCGCACATTTACAATATCATATCAACAAACACTGCTGCAGCAGACGGGAGGACATAGCTAGCGGTAGCCAAGCAATCGAGCTTCGCAAGCAGGCAGCATATTATTATTTATAGTATCAAAGTGGGCTTATATGATCTTCGAATTTGATACAGCAAATAATATTTCTTAATGAAAAATAGTCACTTTAAATGTTTTATAATCAATGTCTTGTCGCCTAACATTTTGCACTTTTATTTTTCTCATGTTTAATGATCAAAAAGATGTTCAATGTAATAATATTGACAATTTTTACATCAGGCAGGTATTACGGTTACCTTACACTGATCAAAAGTATCGAAGGATGAAGGATTATGCCTATCCGTAAAAAAGAGGTCCTTAAAACATGTGGGCTGCGTGGGGTGGCCATGCATTTTGCATAAAAGAAGTTGTGACTAAAAGATCCACGTATACAACCCACTGAGGTTGAGGCTGTACGCCCAACCCAGGAGCGGAATAGAGAGCCTCTCAGGCGAGATAATATTTTGTTGCTCAAATTTACTGTACATTAAGTTTACATAGTGTAATCTATATATTACGACGTTTAGGTATATGCATTGCATAACGTGAGGCTGACTGTAACGCGGTACATGCATTACGGCAGTCTACGTGCACCTTTCAGGATTGTACAATTTTACAGGCGTCATTCTGCGACTCACCGCAGCTCTGCTTTTCGAGCTCTGCTCGAGGAGCTTAGCAATATCATTGCGACTCAGTCCGACAATTTCATGTTCTGCACCGCAGCTATCGTAGCTACGCGCCCGTATTAAACGCACTTTTACTTCCTGAAAGAGGTGAATGTATCGATTGCCTCAGCTCGTTTTGAAGGGGAGTACATAGCGCTTAATTTTTTGAGCTCCAGTTGATCCATTAGTCAAAGCGGTCAAGCCAAGTCATTCCCATGTAAAATCTCGTCTTGACTGACTCGGCTCTAAGCTCTGGACTAGGCGATATTTCTCGCTGTCAAATTCTTTCCATTGCGCCTGTAATTACCAGAACATTGACATGTCTTTGGTACAAGACGCACGAAATCTGTACTGTATCTGGCATCCTTAATTACAGGCATACTGATACTGTCTGTTGTTGCGTATCGTGCCTGATTGTATGATGCTCCAAATTCATCATGACTTTTCGTGAATTTACAAGCTCGGGGCGTTGATGCGAATATCACGAAAAACGGGCTGAGAACATTTTTACGAGAGCCGCTTTTACAGCAGGAGTAGAGCGGTCTAACGGAACTCGACGTTTTCCCATAAGGAGCCTCTTAAACGTCCGTTTGCAAAATTTTGATCACTCGTGCTTCTCAAATAAGAAAACAGAAGGCATGCATGGCGCACATGTTCTGTATTACCGCAGATGAAAAATTTGTATTTACCACGAATCTTCTCCGGAGCCAAAAGATCTCTCCAATCTTCAGCATGGCAGAGGTCCATCGCCTTTGACATGCTCGTAGATTTCAACCTCTGTTAATACAATCGACCCTCGCGGCACGGAAGTTGTAGTCAGCATTTTGTGCGACATTCACCGCTTCTTCAAATGGTACATGTAGGATGTTGATGGCCCCGGGGCGTGATGCACCCATTCGAAGACACTGGTAACTTTTACCGCATCCTAAAGAAGGACTTGCGTCATTGCGGCGATAAGAGCTCGCATATCCTAAACATAGTCTGCAAAATCACGCCTTTCGTGCAAGTGGATATGAATGGTGCATGCATTTGGTACGCCTAATTAGGCGGTGCAAGCACCCGCGGCATCTCCACTACAAATAACTCCAAATTTGAATTGCATCTTTCACAGAGGTTGTGGGACATTGGGTAGTTTGAGCAACGAAGGTGCCGTGCAATATATGCAATACACGCGAAAGAAGCTTTGCTCCAAACAATCAAACAAGAAACACCGGTTGGGTGCGCATCCTTCTCGGAAGGCTCAGCGTTTACGCAAGGCCCTGCTTGGACACGACCTTAAAGGTCCAAACAGCATGTGTTTTTAGTTTTCAGTAAAACCAGGTCTCCTATCTCAAAGTTTTCAACATTACTTCTGCTTTTCAGTCTGCATATTCTTTTTGCAGGTCTTGGCTTTTCGCCATCGCATCGCGAACGTGGAGTGTCAAGTCGATGAGACAGGAAGTCTTCGACTTCATTACGAACAGTGAGGGGGTGACACCAGATAGCTGCTCGGCTATTCCTCGCCCACCAAGCCCTGAGCCATGGGATGGCGGCGTCAGCGGGGCGCGACGCTTAACAAGCCCGTCCACGTAGAACGGCGTGTAGCCGATAGACGCATGCACTGCATTGTTCAGAGCAAACTCTACTAGTGACAACGTAGCGCTCTAGCGCTTCGGCGTCCCAGCGCAGACGCTGCGAAGAACGTCTTCCACGACGCGGTTCACGCACTCAGTTTGACCATCGGTCTGCGGATGGTCCGCTGTTGACATAGTCAATTTGGTGCCCAGCACCCTAAAGATTGTAGACCAAAACTTATTAATGAAGGGTGGGTCTCTGTCAGAGACAATTGACTCCAGGAGTCCATGTTGTCGAAAGACACGATCCACAAACAGCGTCGCTGTACCGACACCGTCGATGGTGGTTGGGATCGCCGCAAAATGAGCCATTTGATCAAACGGTCGACAAAGACCACCACAGCCGTGTTGCCCGCCGACTCCTTTTGCAGGTCAAACACATAGTCCATACCCATTGACTGACAACGCCCGGAGGGTACCGGCAATCTTAGCGTCGCCGCCGCATTTGGATAGTGTTCCATCCTCTGACACGTCTCACAAGCTCGCCCATATGTGCTCGTTCGTTTGTACAGCTCGGTTCACCAGTAGTGGCAACTCATAGAGCTGTAGGTCTTCTCACGACCGAGTTGACCACTGAGTGGGGTGTTGTGGGCCTCATAGAGAATACGGTACTGCAAATTCTCATCGTGAGGTACCACAATTCGTGACGTATCCGACGAGTCGGTGCTATAATACAGCAATCCGTTATTCAGCAAATATCGGTGTGACCGTGCGCACAGTCGCGACGACAACGTTTTGTCCGAGTTTCCAATCTCTTTGCTACTGAGAGCCCGTAGCAGCTCCTACGTATTAGCCAAAGCATTCTACTTTCC